TAGATATATTTAGTTATTTTTAAATGATAAATACTTTAAAATCCTTAAATAAATAGTATAAAAATATAATTTATTTTTTTTTAAATGGTTGCCTATATCAAAATAACTTTAAATTTGAAATGTATGATTTATATGAATATAAAAATATAATTTATTTATTTTTAAATGGTTGCCTATATCAAAATAACTTTAAATTTGAAATGTATGATTTATATGAATATAATAAATTTAACCATTATTTTCATAGTATATAAATTGTATAAAAAAATTATTAAAACTAATGTAAAAACTTACATAAATTATATCAATATAATTAATTAGATCTTGACTATTTTTTAATATTTTGTCTTATCTAAATCAAATTATCATATCTTAATTATAAATTAATCACAAAGAGAAAAATAATTGCTTTACCTGAATCCTAATTTTTTAAAAAAAAAATTTGAAGTGGTGGCAATCATTTAAAACCTCAAAAAATAAAATTTTGTGGAAAATAAAAATTAATATACTATATTTGAAAATTTTCAAAAGCTTAGGGGGGCAGCTGCCCCCCCTTGTCCTACATTGGCTCCATCCCTAAGCCATCTAAGATCATCCTCGCCATCATTCATCTCCAATCTGCAGTCTAAGTGAATTTTCCTTTTTTGAATTTGTCTTGAATTTTTTTTTGTATTTTTGAGAAAATAAATAAAATTTAATATTGATTAAATAAAATAGTAAAATAGTTATTGTTTATATAGATTTATTTGGTTTTGTTAGTTAAATCCCTATTTTGGTTCCTCTACTTTAGTAAAAAGCCCTTTTTTAGTCCTTCTACTTAAAAAGTCTCTTTTTAGTTCCTAAGGTTTGAAATTCGGACCTTTTTTAATCCTTCTATTAAGTTTTACATATGTAGCATGCTAGATGACAGAAATTTCAAAGTAGAGAGACAACAAAGGGCTAAAAAGAGATAAAAAAAATAACCCCAATTTGATTCCTTTACTTTAGAAAAAAAAACTCATTTTTTATCCCTCTCCTTTGAAATTTCTGTTATCTAACGATAAAACTTAATGGAGAGACTAAAAAAGGGCTGCATTTCAAACTATATGAACCAAAAGGAGTTTTTTTTCTAGTAAATGGACTAAAAAGGGGTATTTTGCCAAAGTAAAGGGGTCAAATTGGGGTTTTAACATTGTTTTCTTTGAATGTTGGGGGTGGGAGTCCCAAACTTTACATGAGAAGTCCTTTACAAGGAGAGGTGGCAATTTGACTTTTCCAAATGTGATATTACCAATAAACCAATGACCATCAACAGCTAAATAATCTCAATGAATTTTTTTCTTAATATAATAATGACTTTCAATGATAGGCAATCTTTGTCACCACGACAGGGCAACTGGTCATTATTTCCATTTTAACGACCAGAATTGTTGCAATTAACGATGGTATTTACTCTCGTTAAAGAGTGTTTTTGTTGTAGTGATATAAAAATGCAAATTGACCTTATATATGTTGCATATTTCAATTTTAATTTAATAAATATTCTACATGTAAATATTATATAATTAGTAAATATTACTGTAATTTTTTATATCATGTAACTATTGTAATAAGAAAAAAATAATTTTTTTTGAAT